CTGAGAACGGCATGAAAAGGCCATAGGTGTGATTTGAACAGCCTCTGATTCCCTTGAGGACCTCAAGGTAGCAAGGATCTGGCATGTGAGCGAGCCATGGAGGCTAGGGGCGGTGGTGGAACCACCATTGATACCGGCGAGGCAACGGCCGGCGAGTAGGAGCTTAGGTTTAGCAGAGAAAGTCTTGAGAGAGATGAGAGATGTAACGGCAGAGAGTGATGAGAGAATGAGGGTTTGGGGGAGGGTTAGACTACTAGGTTAATAATGAAAAGAGGGGGACATGGATCGTCGATTAGAATTGATCAACGGTCTAGATTGGACCAGGGATTGGGTCAGGCAATTTTGATGGATTAGGCCTGGGGTTTGGGCTATTTTAATTCGGTTGGGGTCTAATTCAATTAGGCTAGAATTGAAATGGAATTGGCTATTTGTTAAATACACAATTAAATTAAATAAAAAATATATAAAAATAGTTGATAATTGTACAAAAAAAAATTTATGCATAGAAATAGTTAAAAATGATTACTTAGTATTTTAAAAATACAAATGATTAATTTCCAGTCAAAAATAGTATAAAATCATATGTTTGGGCTATAATTGCAAAGTTATTGCAATTGTAGCCAAACGATGCCAATTTGGCTAATTATGGAATAATTTGGTTTAAATAGGACAATAAATAATAAATTAAATCAAGAAATACTTTTGAAATCACTTGTGATGCAATTCTGTAATTATTTATTGGAAATAAAATGCTGGATAAATTAATAAAAATATAGAAAAATTGCGGAAAATATCAATTGCTATTAATGCATGATTTTGAAGGTATATATGCAATTTTAAAATATTTTGGGGAAAAATTGGGTATCAACAGGCTCCACCCCGGCGCGATCGCAGAAATCGTTCTATTCTATCCCAGGAGAGGCAAGATCTCAACTACTCATGGGACCTCTTCATCTTCCACCACTTCTACTCCTCCGGTGACCAGAGCAACATTTTTCGGCACCGGAATTGTGACAGGGAGATCAGTGCGAGAAGAATCACCAGCCATTTTGTCAAAATGGTGTGACAAAAAGACAATCGAAAGGAAGGATGAAAGTTCTCAGTCAAATGGGGGTGAATGAAAATTCAGAGTATCAGGAAGAAAGTATATCCACAAAATTCTTTCAAGAACAAGGCAGAGAAGTGTGTCAATCGAATGATGTGTTCCTTCTATTTATAAGAGGCATAAATCTCCCCAAGCACGAAATCCAAGAGTCACCAATCGAATCTGATAGGGCACGAAACGTTTTGGTTCCCCAATAACGTGTGTCATAATGGCGGCAACCACGAAACAACGCTTTAATACCAAACGACGTTTCGGTTCCGAAACAGCCGCAACGGTCTATCGAAAGAACGTCGTCATCTCACTTGAAACCTAAGAAGCATAACCAAGGAACGAGAAGTCAGATTTCTCTCGAACTCGTAGCACTCATGATCCGCCTGCCTGGCCCGACAGAGGACGACCCCGACAGGCGGAGGGACTAACTGTATTGGTTAAAATCTTACCGCTACGGTCAAGCTGACCAACATCCCATTCAGGCGGCAAGGAAGCAAAAGACGACATGTCCTACTCCACATCCGGCACTCTCGATACCCGTCGAGTCAGAAGGAACAACGTCTAGAGGACGACCAAGGCAGACTTGGTGTGAGAGAGCGTCGGACCAAGTAAATAGCAAAGGTCCCTTGACTATATATAGTAGGGGAAAACCTTCGGTTAGGGAGGTTCTCCTCTCCATCCTCTCTCCTTAGTTCTCTCTTTTGTAATCTTCATAATGAAAAAGAAGAACGAAGTAATCTCCAGAAAAACATGTAAAACTACCTCCCCCCATTGATTAATGGGAGCCACAATGAAGAGTTTCAATAAGATCGATTACCTTTATTTCATCTCATACACTATTCTTTCAATTAACTCATTGATCTGGAATTTATTATGTTTAACTAAGATTTACCCCTTCATTTTTGTTAATTAATTTGTTCAAAAAGGTTCCAATATCTTTTGAGTCAAACAATAGGTCGGTGCTAATAATGAATTTTTATTTCTGTTAGGTGCAAAAAGCACATTATTCGGGCACACGTCATTAAGTTTATGTGAATTTCATTTAGATTACATAAATCGTGATCTCAAATGGTCAAAAAATTTTTGTCAGTTATATATGGGGTATTGTCACTTTTAGTCGGTGTCACAGACTATTTATATTCGTTAGACGAAAAAGTGTTAAAATATATATAATTTTTATATATAATATATAAAATATATATATACAAAAAATATACATTTTCCAGCTATTATTTTGATAACAGCTATACAATATTATTTTCTCATTAATTAATGTTCCTTAAAATTACTGTTATCACAACTTTCACTTATTTCGTTTTCAAGACACAGTTGATTGATTTTCATTAAAATCATTTTTATCATAGACTAAAGACATGGTTAATGATTCAAACATGCAAGGCAAATGATCCATTTCAACACGACAATTCTCACAATGATAGATAAAGATTCCTGCCATAACATGTAGGAGTAGTAAATCTTTTAATGTTACTCTACTTTTAACTTTTGGGTATAACAAAAATCAGTAAAATTCTCCTCTTTCTATTTCATTAACTTGCAAGCTCACTAATTGAAACATCATCATTTACTTTATTGATCACTTTTGTAATAAGGCGTTTAAGAAAAATCGAATTACAAAAGAATTAAGAGAATGACCTGGTGGAAATAAAATGGAAGTAAAAAAAACTAGAAAATCCATTGCTATACCAGATAGAACTTACTAGCTGAATTTAACTTCAATTTTTTACAGAAAAATTAAATACTATCATAACTTATTCGATTTGCACAAGCTTCCGTTCAGGTAATGTAAATGAACAAATTATCCTCTTTCTCTTCAAAATAACAGAAGAATTAAGAGAAATTTAGATATAAGATTAATTCACTTTCTTAAATATTTAATATATATATTTTTCTATGTTTAAATTTTCTGCAACTATATAATGAACAAAAATACTCCTAAGTCTTCATTTCAATGTTTTTTCTTGAGTCCATTACTCAAATGGTCACTCAATTATCCCAAATTATCTCCTAAAGTCACTTTATTTTCGTTTATAACAACAAAGTCACTGACCTATGCCTATTGCATTCAGAAGGTCACTCAACCAGATTTTTCAAATTTTGGATTGCCAAATACCTATTTTACCTTCTAAATTATAAACATTTATCTTCTTTTTTTTAAAAAAAAAACTTTTTAATATTATGATTTTCTCTTTTAATTTATATTATGGACTTACCTATAAAATAAATAAATATTATTTATAAATTAAAAAAATAGAAAGTATTTAAGCATATATAATGCCGGAATAATAAAATAATGAGCATAGTAAAAAAAATAATTAGAATAATATGTTAGCAATAATAATTTTAGTATTAACAACAAAAATTCAAAATTTATTTACACAATTCAGAATGAATAAAAATAAAGATTGTAAAATATATATTCCATGCACGTAATATAAAAATAATTATTTAAATAAATGTATTTTTATAATATATATTATATATTCTTGAAAATTATGCTCAATTATATTATTATATTTCTACCAACTTTCCAACAACACAAAGTTATATCACCAGAAAGCAGAGGAACTATCTGTATATGGTAAAATATGCTATGTTAAGTCGTGCATGGAATATGTATATAATATAATTGAGCATAATTTTCAAGAATATATAATATATATTATAAAAATATTTTTATTTAAATAATTATTTTTATATTACGTGCATGGAATATATATTTTACAATATTTATTTTCTTTCATTCTGAATTGTGCAAATAAATTTTTGAATTTTTGTTTTTAATACTAAAATTATTATTACTAACACATTATTCTAATTATTTTTTTCTATGCTCATTATTTTGTTATTCCAGCATTATATATGCTTAAATACTTTCTATTTTTTTAATTTATAAATAATATTTATTTATTCTATAGGTAAGTCTATAATATAAATTAAAAGAGAAAATCATAATTTTAAATTTTTTTTTTAAAAAGAAGATAAATATTTATAATTTAGAGGGTAAAATAGGTATTGACAATCAAAAATTTGAAAAATCTAGTTGAGTGACCTTCTTAGTGCAATAGGCATAGTTCAGAACTTTGTTGTTACAAACGAAAGTAAAATGACTTTAGGAGATAATTTGAGATAGTTGAGTAACCATTTGAGTAATTGACTCATTTTTTTTTTGTAAAAAAAAAAAGAGAGGGTAAAAATAGGGGTGCTTGTCGGACGATTTTGTTGGGTATTTACTTTTAATGATTTAGCTTATATGTTTCGAATTTTTAAATATACTAAATCACTAATCGAATCGGTTGGTTTTATATCAACGATTCGGTATTAATTTAGCAAATATCGACGATGATCAGTTATCAATCAGTATATCAATTAAATTTAAGTAAATTAAGCTCAAACGAACACATTAAATCCCAGTAGTTAGAAATGCATCGTCCAACACTGCCTAATGAAATCCTCAGCAAAGAACAATCAAGAAACAAGAGAAATTTAGGGGGGGAAATTTCAGTTAATAGATTGAGTACAGTACTTTTAAGTAATAAGGAAAAAAAGATGGAGTCAGTACTTTGGACTAATAAGGAAAATAAATTAAAATCGACTGTTGACCAAAATCAGGAGTGGAAGATATGATGACACTTCTTTTTGACACAGTGGGAGGTGCAGGGTACAATTATTACAGTTTGACACTCTGCACCTGCCAATACGTGGGGGCTTTTGTGTCATTTCTTCGTATATCTTTCTCCGTCCCAAGAATCCTAATCTCGCTCCTCATCACCAGCTACACTATCATCCCGCACATTTACACACACACACACTCTGAATTGAACCAACGCTCCAAAAAGTTGTAAATCATTCGCAACAGTTACCTGGTATCTTCTAAAGGCATGTCCTAAATCTCTCTCTCTCTCTCTCTCTCTCTCTCTTTGCTTTATTTCCTTATTCTGGTTGTTTGTTGGAGTAATTTTTTCAAGTTGGATCTTGATTCCAATAGTTGTTAAGCGTGTTAAAGTAATTCTGTGTACAACTTGTGGAATTTTTGTTCTGAATTTGAGCTTGTCTGAATTATTTTATTTGTTTTCTGCATTTCAATTAGTGTGGTATGATCAAATGCGGATCTTTTATTCTTAAAAGTTTTATATCTTCTTACGTGTTTTTTTTAAAATTTTTTGTTAACGTAACGATTTAATTCTTAAAGATTATATCTTCTTGTTCCCATAAAGATTCAAAACCAGGCTGCCAATTGAACTTTAGAGGCAAACATAAGTACATTTGATTTTCACGGCTAAGTTTTTTTCTAATCAGTGGTTTTCTAAGGTTTTTTTTTTTTTAAGAATGAAATTTTGTACACAGATTTAGTTTTGTATACAGTTCTTATAGGAAAGATACATATATTTTTGGGCTATCTTTTGTTTTTTGATATTTCAAATAAAGCAAAATGGGTTTCCAGTTCATTGGATAGAACTCCGCTTGAAATGGTTTTATGGAATGCAAGTGAAAGCGATACCTTGTGGAATTAGTCGAGGAACACACAAGCTGGCCTGAACATCATGCTTATGAAAAAGAATGCAAGTGAAAAAAAAGAGACTTTTATGTGCAGAGTGTTAGGTTCATTTCCATGTTTGCTTTGAATTTACTAATCTGCTTCTAGGTTTCTAGTTCTTTGTTTACATCTATAGAGCCAAGGGTATTTTGGTAAGACTGTGTCTAACAGCAATTCTTCAGAGTTTGCTTAATAGGTCTTTAGGGATGTCATTTACCAGATGTTTGGATCTTCAAAAATTTTGGGAAAAAGAAGGTTAAGAGAAAAGCGTAACTAAATCTCAAATTTCCTCACTTTATCTGGAAGGCAATTGAAAAATCTGCGGAAATTGGGTTGTATGGATATGCTGTATAAGGTAGGGGAAATGGCTCAGCTTGATATGGTGAATAAGCATACTTGGTGATCTGTCAATTAATCCCATTGTTGAATGAATACCACATTCTATTATAGGTATCAATTTTGCATGAGCATGCCACAGATTTGAATGTTGCTTTTCTTGAACCTATCTCTTCCAACATGATGAAAGAAAGAAGCCAGTGTTAGATTAGATATAAAGCTTTGGCCACTTTACCAGGAACTGCTGGTCCGTATTTCTGATTACAACTGCCACTTCCATTTTAATTACCACCATCAAACCCTCTCCATCACATATCTCTTGCCTTATTTGACTAAACAACTCCATATCTTGGAGGTCACTGATCTGTCCTTTTCTGAGAAACCGTTGGGATCACTGACCAAGTTGAGTAAGAGATTGCTTTAGTTGATTTTGAGGGAGGGAGGGAGATGGTGAATAACGATGCTGGGTTTAAGAGGACGGTAAGGTGAGTTCCAATATTCTCTATCATGTTTTCCCACTTTTGCTTCGGATCGATTTGCTATAATGTAGTTGAAAACTTCACTCACACTATTCAACTTTTTTCTTTTATGATTTTCCAGAGCATTCAAACACACACACAAATAATGTTTCCTAGAAACTTTCCCCCTTAAATGCATGCTCTATGGTACGCTTCAGCTTTTGTGTTCTTTTTGGAGTATTAGTGTCTCAGAAATCAAGAACTTGGTAGTCGAGATGTAAGATTTTATTTAGAAAAAGTATTTGTTGAAGCTTTTCTTGTTTCATTGGTGCATTTTGCAACTCACTAACTGGATTTCCTAGACCTTTTCTTCCTCTTAATATCTGTCAACGGGCTGGCAGAGAACCTTCTGTTTACTTGTTTCCTTCTTGATTCTGCAATTTATTGCTGATCCTTTGGCTACTTCAAAGCCTTTGTAGTCCATGGGGATTTGTTCCATAATTCAGCTAGATACCAGCACAAAATGAGTCCCACGTTTGCTGCATCTTTGCTGCCTATTGTAGTCCTGAGATCTCCTCTCTTGTCCTACATGAAACGCCTATAACCAAAGACTCTTATTGGCGCATAAGCTTGTGATTGAAGCCATTTGAGAAAGGCATTCTTACTGTTCACATCTTTGTAGGCCGTGGAACAGCTTTCTATCTTCTTCTTTATGCTTGGAGTTAGCACCCATCCTTTCCCTTCAATCACAAGTACTGTTGTATTTGGACATACAAGTGTGATAAATTACCATCATTGATCAAAGGCTCAATACAAGCTTGCGGCTGACATCAATGTAAGCTTTAAAAGGCCAGGGAGTGTAGAGATTTTGGCTATGACTTGTCAACTGGTATTTTCTTAAGTAATATCATTGTTCCTTAATTGATTGTTTATACTTCAATTGATACTGTGTTATTCATTTGAGCAACTTGAACTATGGTGAGAACTGTAGCTTGTTATGAGAAGTCACGAACTACAGAGAAATTCCGCTTCATTCAAGCTCCTTTCTTCTCCATTCTTTAAGCTCCTTCTGGGATGAATATTCTTGATCCTGATATATTTATACTCCTAATTTTCCAATTTATATAACCTCTTTCTATTTTAGGACATTTCAAGATGTTTGAAACCATTCTATTAAGATAAAATTATCACAAGTATTAAGAATTTAAATGTGTTAAATTATTCTCTCTTTAACATAAAAATACTAGTGTTTTTTCCAGCCCTATAATCTATATTTGTTTTCTTGGAATAGGATTGAAGATCCATCATGTTTAGTTGCTAGTTTAGCTTTCAATTTAGAACTTATTTGTAAATGGACACGGTGCCTCCTAGCAAACATCATTGGTTCTTTTATCGAGGACTTTTTATCAATATTTCCTTTGTTGCAATTTATTTGACACTCTTTGTTTCGGGATGTCACAAAATATTTGATACCATTTCTCTGCCTGTTATTGTTATTGTAAGGATCCATCATAAATTAACTAGTTTTACATTGATCATTAGCTCCTTATTTATTAAGGTTTGATATCAGCAAATTAGTTCATGTCTAGGCTCAATTTCCAGGAGAATAGAGACGTAACACAGAAAATTAAAATTGTATAGTTGAGATGAAGAAGTGTCACATGAGTGTTATGCAATAAGGAGATACCTACCAGAGTGAAAGGCTAGGTTATAACTTATAGGATAGTTGTGAGACCAACAATGATATACTGGATTGGGTGTTGGGTTTCTGAGGTTTAACATATTCATATGATGTGTGTCGAAGAAATACAAATGTTATGATAGATGTGCCATGTGCGGTTATACAAAATTATATAAGATAAGAAATTGTTATGTCTGACAAAAAGTACAAATAGCACTCATAGAGGATAAAACGAAAAAAGGTCCCACATGATGGTTCAGTCATGTCTTATGTTAGACGTTCAAATGAAACGGTTTGTAAGTGTGACGCTAGGATGGTTGAAGGTGTTAAAAGGACGAGGTAAATCTAAAATTACATGGACGGAAGTTGTCCCAAAGAACTTACAATCTCTCGAAATCCATGCAAAATTAGCAAATTCCAAAATAATGGAAGCGAAAGATCCATATAGGTAATTCTGACCAGTTAGGATTAAGGCTTAGTTATGTCGTGACACTTGCATTAGGTATGTTGTTTGCCAGGAGTCCTTTTTATTCAATAGTGGTTTGTTTTTCAGCAGAAAATGTAGAAAACCTTTATTTATAGAGAATCCTTAGTTTGTCTTGAGTATTAGAATGAAGTTGCTTCAACGGGAGCATAATGGATAGTGGATATTCATATAACTGACCTCAACTATAGGATTGAAGCATAGTTGTTGTTAATTAATATTGGAAATTGGAGTCCCGAGTAGAGTTGAATGGTTGCAGAAGAACCATATTGCTATCTCCATTTTTTTTAGATTTAAGGCATATTTGCTGTTGTTTTCTTACTAGTATTATCTTATATAACTTTGTCAAGTTTTGGGAGTTGATTTAACTAATAATATTCAAACATTTATATGGTTTTTTCCTTTCAACTAACTTTTAAACTATTACTTTTATATATTTTTTAGTTACCCCTTGTTAAATTTCTCTTCGGTCTTCTTAATATCTTGTTGTTGTTATTGCTTGTTGCTACTGCTTTTTTTCATCTTTTCTTCAGCCGAGAGTCTAACAGAAACAACCTCTCTGCCTTCCCAGGGTAGGGGTAAGGCCTTCATACACCCTACCCTCCACGGACCCCATTTGTGGGAATCCACTAGGTTTATTGTTGTTTTTGTACCCTTTGTTAAATACACAAATCAAATAAACATCTTTATTTCTGCCCCCAATCACATAGAATACATGGATGGAGTAAACATGTTTTGTTATCCCCTTCTATTTGATTCCTGGAAACTAGTAAGCCCTAATTGTCCCCAGTTCTATTCATTCTTATCTTGTTCTTCAAAACTTATAACAAATCTCCAGCTTTTCCATCCTAATGCTAATGGACATGGAAGTTTCCTCTCTAGGGAATTTTAAGTGCAAATTGATGTTACTGCATCTCCTTTTTCTCAAAAGAAATTGATGTTAGGTCTTTTATGTATCATTTTGCTTTCCGTAATAATTATCTTTATCTGAAATGTGATGCTCCAATCAGCTATGCCAGCATGAAATTAGAAATCTTTTGTTATCTATAACCAACTCAAGTTTCGGTTCAGATTTTCGTAGTTTCTTCAATTTCGGGAATCCCAGTACTCCCGTAGACATTTCTGTATATTCTTTTAACGCTCAACTTTTCTGCTTCATGGTCTGATTACTTTCACAAGAATACAGAGCGAACAATCAGCAACATCAAACTGACATCAGGAATTCAGATTTCATCATGGTTGATAATGACGCTTGAGAAGTAATGATTTTTTTTATTACAGGTGTTTCCATGCGACGTTGAAGCTTTTGTGATGGAAGAAGGAGATTCTGCTGTAAGGAGATGGGAGGACCTTGATAACGATATCTTGGTGAAGATATTGCAGTCCTTTGACCTCTTTGAGTTGACTTCTGGACTTGCTCAAGTTTGTAGTTCGTGGCGATTAGCTTGCTCTGATCAACTTCTCTGGAAAATGCTGGACTTGTCTGTAATAAAATCAAATTTCATCAAAATCCCGTTAGAGCCGTATGTATATGTGGACTGTCAGTCTGATAAAACATTAACCCGCCTCCTGAGGATTGCTTTGAACCTCAGTCGTGGAAACATACTAACGTTAATCTTCCATTACAATCTGTATGTCAGCGACGATCAGTTGACTTATACTGCCGAGAGGTATTCCCTGATAAACCTTCATCTTTCCTTAGCTCTATTATTTTAATTAAAAGACCATACATCAATCATTCCAGAGTTCAGGCAGCATCATATATCTTAGATGTCCAATGATTTGCCATTATTTTAATTCAGGAGCAGCAAAGTTTACAGTGAGGATGAAAAGGACAGTTAATCAAATCTACTCTTTTTCAGGTGTCCGCGGCTTAAACGTCTAGTTATGCCTGCTTGGAACAGAATAAAAAAGACAGGAATATGCAGGGCTATTCGTATTTGGGAAGATCTTGAATCACTGACAATGCCTAGCATAGCAAATCCACCATACGTCATGGAGGAAATTGCAAGGAATTGCAAAAATTTTGCTGAGCTCAAGATTATGGGGCCATGTGATATTCTCTTTGCATCTACACTGGTAGCATTTCTTCCAAACTTGAAAGTACTGAGTGTGCGGTGCACAGTGCTATCTAAAGGCGCCTTAGTTATTATCTTGGAGGGCTTAAAAAAGTTGGAAGTGCTCAACATATCCCATTGCCTAATCACTGAAGTCCCTCCATCTTCACCAAGAAAAGTTCTGACCAAGCTTGATGAATCAATTCTTGAAAAAGCCTCAAGGTTACGCAAATTCCTGACTTGCATGAGTGATTCGTGCATCATGTGTCAGCGCACTCGAAACGATGAAGGACTGATGAGGTGGTATAAATATGAAGAAGACCTCTGGAAAGTGGATGAGGTGAGATCTCTTGCAATTTGACAACTTTAAGGATATATTGCTTTTTCATAAGTTAGATACCTTGTTAAAGGTCCAGTTGTTGTAAAATTGTGTATATGAAGCAAAATAAAACCTTGTCATTGTTAATGGAAGTGAATCAGCTTCCGGTTGCTAGCCGCAGGTATTTTCCTTTGGTGGCCAAAGGGAGAGTAGCTTTGTAGTATAGGAGACATATAAAACTGTATCATCATCATGCACATGGGAGAGTAATGTTACTTTCATGTTGTAATTTTGTAACATTAGTGTATTTTCTTCGGCGGGATTGTTTTCCTGTTCTATCACATTTCTTTGTGTTCCTATAATTTTCTCTTTGTGGTACGTGGATGCGTTTTGTTTCTGCGTTTTCAAACAAGAAAAGAAGTCTATGATCCTCTCTAGGTTATGGCTGATCTTTAAGGAAGCTCATTAAAGGTGCAACATTTTTACGTAAAAATTAGAGATATATTTTGACAAACATTATAAAATATTTTTTTATCATATTAACACAGTGGCGGAGCCACCTTATAGCAAGTGGTGAACTGACACCCTTAGTGGGAATAATACAGTGTAGATAGGTAAAAAACAATTATGCATAATGTGTTGATTCTCTTTAATTTCTTTTGTATTTTTTACTTTTATATATTTTGACACCCCTTGATAAAATTTTAGCTCCGCTACTTATTAACACGAGAACAACTCGTAAGTTGTAATACTTTTTGTATATTATTTGAATATTTGAATTTTAGTTTTAATTTCATTGAATTGATCTAACCTAATTTAGTTTCGTAAGTTAGTTAAATTGACTTTCAAAAATGACATGACAACTAATTTTATAGCTTTACCTAGCTTTACCTATACTTTGGCGACTGTCCTCTCCCTCTTTATCGTAGCTATATATACGTAAATGGACTAATAATAGCTGCAAATTACACGATAACTGTCATGGGCTGCTTTTCAGACACGCCCCATGACCCCTTGGCCGCGCCCCATGGCGGTCTAGCAAGTCTCACAATACCTAGCGCCATGGTCGGCCCCGTGGTCTTGGCTGCGCCAAGTGACAAGCGCGCATGCGCTTCTGTCGCCCCATCGATGCCTCTCGCCAGTGTCCAGCGGCTGGCCAAAGACAACAACGCCGCGCCACTGACAATGTCGCGCGCGCAGATCCTGATGCCTTGCCAGCGCCCAGCTGCAAGCCCATTCTAGCAGCGCCTCGTGCATAGACCCTGATGCCAAGCACCAGCGCCCAGCCTCGGGCCAACATAACAAGTGTTGCGCACGCCAACAGCACCGCACGCGCAGACCCTGACCCGCAAGACAAAGTTGCTGTCATCGGACTTGTTTCTACATTGTAATAAACCAAGTCCTTTTCATTGTAATTATAGGCTAGTTTATATTATTTTCATTCAGTGTGTTTCTACAGCTTTATTAGGGCAAGTCATGTAACTTTGGTTTATTTTTTTTAAGCATTATTAGGGGGATCAAGCAATCAAACATTTTCAAGCAATCAATTTTCTGTACTGGTGTTTCTCCCCCTCGACACCGCATCTTTTGTATTCAGCGTTCATTCATCAATAAAATCATCATCATCACTCGAAACTCAATTCTCTCTCAGCTTTCGCAATTGCTCGTGACATTGGTTTTTCCGCACGGCACTGACAATCTAGTCTAGCGTGCGAAGGGGACCTCATTGGCGGACAACAACCACACTGTCGTCGGTTGCTTAGTCTTACGTTGCCCTTCCAAGGAACATCAGGAAGGCGTTGCGTAACAGTTGGTATCAGAACCTAGGCTCGACATCGGGCGAGGGAACACATTTGCCATCATCACCATTTCTGACCATGGTGAATCATGGGGAGCGCCTAGCATCCCTAGAAGAAACGGTTGACCGATTACGACCCATCGTAGATACGGTGCCTGATCAACACAACAACCTAGTGCAAAGGTTGGACGACCTGGACCGCCGAATGCCGCAGGCGGAAAATGACATTGCAAACATCAGTCGTGACTCCGAGGAGGACCGGTAAACGGCAGCCATTGAAACTGCCAATATTCATGGCAAATTTGAGGACCTCCAACAGGAGCGTGCCGATGATTTAGCCCATCGGGAACAAGAGGCAGACAGACTAACTGCCATGCAGCAAACCATAGACGACTTGATAGGTAAGCTCAATATTGTCAATGCTGCCCTACAGAGCCTACTTCGAGGAGGCGACAACCACATCAGGGGTGCAACAAACCTCACCCCCACTCCACAAAAACTTAAGATACCGGAGCCAAAGCCATACGACGGATCCCGGGATGCTAATGAAGTGGAAAACTTCATCTTCGACATTGAACAATACTTCGGTGTCGTGAGCCATTTGGAAGAATCCAAATAGCAACTGCTGCCATGTATCTTCAGGGCGATGCCAAACTTTGGTGGTGGGTCAAATACGAAGCCATTAGGGCCGGTGAAGATACTCTCCAAATATGGGACGAGTTGAAGGCGGCCATACGCCTGCAGTTCTTCCTCGAAAATGTGGAATACAATGCAAGGAAAAAGCTACGGGAGCTCCGCCACACCAGATCAGTGCGAGAGTACGTGCGCGAATTCTCCGCACTCATGCTAAACATACGCAACATGGGGGACAAAGACAAATTCTTCGCATTCATAGAAGGTTTGAAACCTCATTCCCGTATGGAACTACAAAGACAACGGGTAGACACCCTGCCCAAGGCCATTCAAGCTGCAGAATGCCTTAGCGATTATCACTTGGGAACTCAGAACGACAGGCCCCAGCTGCCTGTCCGAGGGGGATTCAACGGGAACCATCCCAGCAATGGTGGCCCAAGCAAAAGTGGGGAGATCGGAGTGCATCCAAAACTAAGACTCCTCCCTCCAGCAGCAATAGTGCTGCATCCATCAACAACAATCAGAGGAGAAAGCCTCCCTCAGAATGCCGTCATTGCGGCGGGGAACATTGGAACAATGAATGCCTAAACAAAAAGATCAATGCTCATCAAACTGCCGAGGATGAGTCAGATGAATCAGACACATCAGAAGAAGACCAGGTAGGCGCCTTCAATGCAATTGTTGGCTCTATCCCACATGCCTTAGCGGGGACCAGTGCACATCCTCCTAAGAAAATCTCAGTCCCAATCACCAAGAAAGGGAAGGAAAAGATGGACGAGAGGCCTCCTAAACAAGCGAGGACCCTAATGTTCGTCGAATTGAAAGTGAACGGAAAGCCCCTTCACGCATTGATAGACACGGGTGCTACCCACAACTACGTGTATTCAACTTAAGTAGAGCGTCTCGGTCTAGTTGTGCAAAAGAGCAAAGGCCGCGTTAAGGCTATCAACTCGCCACCCCAGACATTGGGTGGAATAACTACAAATGTCCCAGTGAAACTTGGCCCATACAAAGGAAGCATCGACCTGCGCATCGCAATCATAGATGAGTTCGACATGATAGTGGGGTTGGAGTTCATGAGGCAGACCAACACCATACCAGTACCATATGCCAACATACTCCTAGTTGGGAGAAAACGGGGCCAAGCCCTGCACCATACCATGCTTTCCCATAAAGATGGCCGCTGGAAACATCTCGGCCATGTAGTTGGAGAAGGTAGTCAACGTACATGAACCCCTGGTTTTGGCTACCCTTCGCAACAACAATCAGCCATCAGGTCATCAGCCTCAAAAGACTGGTGACGCTCCTCAGCGTGTGAAGACTTGTCAGCCATGCCACAAGGACAAGTCGGATCACTCATCACAGACGGGACCCTTACATCCATTACATGTCTCGCAGAGACCATGGGAAAGTGTTTCCCTCAGATTCATCACGGGATTGCCCCAAGTTGGTAATCTTGCATCATCTTGGTTGTCATAGATCAGTTTTCAAACTATGCAACCTTCGTAGCAGCCCCGCAAAACATCTCAGCAGAATATATAACTCGACTTTTCTTCTCGCACATTGTCAAACATTGGGGCCTGCCCAAAGACATTGTTAGTAGGCGCGACTCGTGCTTCACTAGCAACTTTTGGACCCATCTCTTCAGGTGCTTTGGGTCAATATTGAGTCACAACTTAGACATCCATCTACCATCGGATGGCCAGACAGACCAGTTCGATGACATGCTAAAGGAATATCTCCGCAACTTTGCAACCGGATCATAGAAGCATTGGGTGAAGCTCTTGGATGCTACTCAACTGTGTTTCAATTCTCAAAAGAGCCATCATACAAACAAAAGCCCTTTTGAAATTGTTACCGGACAGCAACCGCTTCTCCCGCAAACGGTGAATGCATCAACCATGCTGAAATCTCCTCGAGCTGCCAACTTCTTGAGTGAATGGGAGCGCAACCTGGGGATAGTGCGGAGCTATCTCATCAGGGCCCAAGAGCGGGCAAAAAGATTCGCCGAACAAAATCGTTGCTTTGTCCAACATCAAGCAGGGGACAAAGTAATGCTATGCACCCAAAGCGATACTTGTTTGCAGAGAGGACCCATGACCCTCGCCTGCAACAAAAATACATCGGTCCCCTGCCCATTGAAAAACGCATTGGGAAGTCACATACCAGGTGAAAACTCCATCCTGGTGGAAGATCCATCCAGTCTTCCATGTCAGCCGCATGAAATCATTGCATCGCTACCACAACAAGCTCAAAGAACAGAGGGGCGCAGACCTCCCAACCATCAACCACCAGAATAATCATCATCATAAGGCTCTGAGGACGGCGCCAGCTCAGGTGGGCGAGAATGTCATGGGTTGATTCCCAGACACGCCCCATGACCCTTTGGCCGACCCCATGACGGCCTAACAAGTCTCACAATGCCTAGCGCCATGGTCGGCCCTGTGGTCTTGGCTGCGCCAAGTGACAAGCGCGCATGTGCCTCTTTCGCCCCACCGATGCCTCTCTCCAGCGCCCAGCGGCTGGCCAATGACAACAGCGCCGCGCGCACTGACAATGTCGCGCGCGCAAATCCTGATGCCTTGCCAGCGCCCAGCTGCAGGCCCATTCCAGCAGCGCCTCGCGCACAGACCCTGATGCCAAGCACCAATGCCCAGCCTCAGGCCAACATAACAAGTGTCGCGCACGCCAATAGTACCTCACGCGCAGACCCTGACCCATAAGACAAAGTTGCTGTCATCGGACTTGTTTCTACATTGTAACAAACCAAGTCCTTTTCATTGTAATTATAGGCTAGTTTATATTACTTTCATTCAGTGTGCTTCTACAGCTTTATTAGGGCAAGTCGTGTAACTTTGGTTTATTTTTTTTAAGCATTATTAGGGGGGATCAAACAATCAAACATTTTCAAG